ACGCGCGAAAAATATCCTTTTTTCTAAAACAAACTAAGCCTTGGGCAAGGGAGGAGAAAAACCAGGGTGCGTGAGCAATTTTTATTTCTCTGAAGTTCCTGCCCCATGCTAGGCTTAGTCCTAGAGGATGCCCCGTATCTGGTAATAGCGCCTTTCACAGGACTTATTATGTCAAAATGAATCAAATGGGACCCACCTTGATACATTGGCGGACAAATGCAAGCATTGTTGTTGTTGATCTCGTCAGACACACAAACTCCTCCATTACGGCAGACATTCGGGCCATTCGATGAGCACTCGAAACCGCTACGATAAATTTGACAGTCCCTTCCGATGAAGCCCTCATCGCATTCACACCGGTATGAGCCCATCTGGAACACATGACATATTCCCAACGCGCAATAGCCGCCGCCAGTGTCTCTATTTCAATACGAACTGCTGCAGCCGTTCGTTCTCAACGACGATGTCGACGACGACGACGACGAGGCCGCGCCGGATGATTTGGTGGTTTTCGCTTTCGTAACTTTCTCAGGCCGCAAAAAACACGCGCTGCGGTGCGCAATCACTCGTGGTAAATTGCGCGTTTGTCCTCTCATCTCCACTGTTCGCTGTGTGTGTCTGTGTGAATGTCGGCGGTGTGTTACCCGAAAGACAAAGCCGGATCGGTGGACGCGCAACGTACCACTGGTCGTAAAAAATGAGCTTGACACCGACAAAAACGAACTCGTGTGAACATTCACAGCGATCCATCGTTGGTGCAGTTTGGTCTCTGGGCGGGCCATTCATCATGAAGTCTACTCTGAAACCTACCGTATTCACACATTTCCCAAAGGCACATGGCGATGAGTCGCACTCGTTGATGTCGTGCTCGCACTGTGGTCCATCAAACCCAAGAGGGCAAACGCACTCAAAGCCTGTCCCGTTGCTCGAACACCTTCCTCCATGGTTACAGTACTCAGGTGGACATGGATCTCGTTTTTCGCACTGCTTACCTAAAATGAAGTTTTTTCACCTGAAGGTTGATAAAAACAAAGCGCTTGTTGGTTATATCCGCTCAAGAGTATCCTTTTGGTAGCTCTTCGTTTTTGAAGATATACAGTACAGTAGCCAAGTCAAATTTGTGCAGATCGGCTCGTGGTTAGGCTACCCAAGTTACTTATTCCTTAGAGTCGGTTAAGATTAGTCGAGGGAGGGGAACAGTGCGGGCTTCAAGACCTAGCATTGTGGGTTTCTTTAGGTGCGTCTCTACCCCAGAGCCACAACTCACAACCATGCCCTGCTAAATTCTAAATATTAGGTTGGAAAGAAAGTCCTGCAACACTTTTTCAAATTTTTGATTTTAATTTTATCTTTTTTGGTTACAACTTCTGACGGTCTTATATCTACCATGAGTGTCCACCACTTGTCTCCATCGCTCAGAAAATTTCTTGATCCTCCTCCGCCAAAACCCAGCGGAGTGCGAGTCGAGAAAGGAGGCGACCTCACTTTCGAGTTGGAGTTGATCGTCTGATTATTTCGTTATAAAGATGATGATTAAAGGTCCAGGATAGGTAGCACTTATTTACAGCTCGACCAGGGGATTACGCTAAGAGAGGAAAGAAATCTTGCCGCAACTCCAGAATTTCTTACCGGGCTCATTTCGGATCATGGTGATTCGCAATGTCATGAAAGAAATGAATATTGTCGCGGTACGAGGGCTCTTGACGAGCTACCTCGGCCAGCTTCTGGTACTCCACAACCTAGGCCACTGCCTACACAATGGTGCCCATAACGAAGGGTATGTAGTGGAGCTTCTGTAAGAGCCCTACCTGTAATGGAGTGTGAGGGATGCTGCTGGCTTCTTATAAAAATATCAAAAGATCGGAAGCGCTGGTAAAGGTGAAACACGCTGTATCGCTGAACGGCATGCCATTAGAAGCTATTGCAGATAGTGTCAGTCGTTGACACGAATCCATGGTTTTGTAGACATTTGTACTAGACAGTGACTCGGAGTACGGATTTGCTAGTGGTCGAGATTTTTTGAATTTTCTTGGATACCTACTCACTGCAGAACTTATATCCACCTCGTGGATTGAAGCCTTGAGAATGCTCTATCATTTGGTAGTCATAAATGTTAACCTATGAATTTTTCAGAAAAAAAGAAAATTTTGGAAAGAGTGTTGCAGAACTTTCTTTCCAACCTAAATAAAAGTCGCAAGGTGCCGCCACCATTCAGTAATGAAAAATCTTATAACGCCAATTTCTCCCCATGTTTCTACAGTACTTTCAGAATTTCAACCGCAACGATTCCCTCAATGTCATTCTAAGAGCTACCGACAAGTCGACATGCGGCAAGGCCGTTTTTAACAAGGCAACCAGCCAGAAACATATGGGAACTGGGGGGGGGGGGGGGGGGTTTTTTTTTGTTTGTTTTGTTTTTGTTTTCGCGGGGGCGCCGGCCCGCTGGCCGGGGTTGAGGCGCCGGGCGCCGTCCTTTCATCCTTGTCGACAGTAAATGCCTACAAATACACCGATTGATGTGTGAAGCCTAATTATCAGATCTTATCGCGGTAATTCCTCGCCAGCCCTCGCGATTGAAACCTTTCCTGACGATGCCAATCAATAGCCGCTCTGATAAAAATGAGGGTCGTTAGGAAGTGCCAGTGAAGATTTGTGACTGGGCAAGGGCGAAGGGTCCGACCACGTTGACACATGAGATCGATTGGGTCCAAATGAATGGAGTGGTTAATTTAAGTCACTAGGTGTCACTTGCACTCAGGAACTGACACCTTTTGGGGAGTTGAAGACGGAGGAGAAGGTTGTGGATCTTGTTTAATGGGACCAGAAAACTTCTCGATACTACTAGCTCTAGGTGCACTTTCCAGTTCCTATGAAATAGCTTTGCCACCCCCTCCCCCTAACAGACACAAATCCTCAGAAAACTTGACAAAGTTACATAAGTAACCGTGATGGGTTACTGTCAGTCACAAATTGATGCAGCTACGGTAAAGTTTCCAGTAGGTCTGATTTATAACATTTTTTTCGCATGTTCTGCTAACTTTGTATACAGCTCTTTCGATGGAGCATAGAACGTGGCTTCTTACTCACCGCTCCCACCATCAGTTCCTTCCCTAACCCTTCAAAAGCTACCTTAAGGTTACTGTTGTCAATATCCTAGTGAGGGTTTGAATCGCGCCGACGCTTCCAACAATTTTTGAACCCCATTGTTTTGCAGCATATTGGATAACTAAGATATGACAAAACAACGATACGATAATAAAATAAGATAAAGAATTTATAACTGAAGATTAACTTATACGATTACCTTAACTCGAAAATAAAGAATTTGGGGCGTAGGGGGGAAAGCTAAAGAGCACGTACGCGACCGCTAAGCCAAACCCGTACACACCCTTCGGTTCGCTTACCTAATACAACGGTAATTTGAAAGTCATTTGGTCAGAAACGAAATCGAAAGCAGGAAGGTTTGCAAAAGCAACGAGCACATTTCCCAAGCTTCTTTCGAGGCGTCGGCTAATCCGGCTAATATTCTGGTTACTCCACTTTATTGAACAGTGTCACTTTGAAGAGAAAGCACCGTTGACGGGCCCGCTTTCTCCGAGGCTTGTCGCAATCCCATTGCAGCCAGCCGCTTCCCATCCCTGGGGGGGGCCCCCCTTGTACTCCACGCGCCGCTGAACTTGGGTGTGATTTGAAATAAACGTGGAACGCGCATGCGTCATTCGTATGTAAATGCAGCTGGTATGTTCAAACGGTTGCCGACACCACGTATCACTGACAGCCGCCCGATGAAGACACAACGACGACGATGACGACGTCGACGGTCGGGGCCCCGACTATGAGGTGAACAGTCGCGCGAACGGGCAATCATCCATGTGTACTTGCGATTCGCAAACCTCAACCTTGAGCCGATTATAATCATCTTTTCGCATGAGATAGACAAATACGGCCCGCGTTGCCCTTCGTCAAACAACTGTTATCGACGGAACCGCGGAAAAACAGACAGAAGACGCTTAACAACTCACCGATCCAACCATCATTGCAGCGACACTCATACTCTTCTAGACTGCTTGTAAGTAAACATTTTCCGTGATTACCACAAGGTGAGCTGCGCTGACAGACGCTATCGAGGACCTGCTCGCAGTACTTGCCAGTGAAGCCTGTAATGTTTTTTACTGGATGTGATCAAAGGCAAGGGAATCAGGGATCACTGCGTAAAGTACTGTATTGGAGTAACACCGGATGGTTGTAGCCACGGGGATTTCAGGGTAGGATTCGTGAACGAAGCCTCATTTCATCCTGTTCCCATACTGGGCACGGTATCTTTTTATGATATAAACTGTACATGGGGAAGGTTAGTAAAGGGTTGCAGAATGTTAGAAAGGGTTCAGATATTCATTAGGAACGGGGTAGGAAAAGAGGAGGAACTGAAAAGGCATAATTTCCAAAGGTTTAAATCAGGTTTCATCAACTACACAGCGCTTGCTGTGGAGAGCCCTCACTCGTGGTTGAGCTTAAACCGCTTCTAGCCCGGAAAAATTAATTTCATGAGAGCTGCACCAGTATTCCAGCCAGTGATTGAAGAAAGGGGTCCTAAAGTGGTCGTCCACAACTCAAAACCCTTATCTCAACAGCTCAGGGTCTTGAATGGTCGGTCTGCTAGAATGCCCATTGGTATTGCCCGAGTAGCAACCTCAAGTTCAAGTCATAAATATCACTGAGAGGTCTTAATGGATTCATTATCCGTCACACCCTGCCTCGAGCAACTGTTGTCCATAAATACTCATTAGCTCACAGATGCGTACTACTCACTATTCGGTTATTACTCATTAATTCAATACTAAAAAACGCTCGCAAGATGTCTGAATGGTCAGTGGTCGTAAAAGCGCTTCGCCAT